GCGTTATTTACATAGTACGAGTATATATTTTAACATTAGTCGTTAGGTCAATAGAATGGACAATTACAATTATTTATAGACCAGATAAAGTATATTAACAATATAGAATAGAACGAAAAAACATGGGGAAATTCGGAACGCGTTGCTCGGGGAGTAGGTGATCCTTTATACACAGAAGTAAACATTCCTGACTTCATAGCTGTCCTTGTCGTTAATTATGAAGACCTTTTACATGCTACTCACAAATCGTTGGGGAAGGCTCTGCAAATATAGTTTGGCAAGCATTGTACATAAGTTCCTGTTGACAATGGCGAAAAAAAGTTGCTGAATGGGATTATTACAAATGCATTTTCAAAGAAATGAGTGACGTCTCCGAGCCAATCACGATTCCCGACCCGAACTCCCGTCACCAATCGCCGCGCTCAAGGCAGGAAGCGGAGTTGCATTTTGAACTCGGCGCTCTTTCTCACAAGGTATTTTTGTCCTCTTGTTAATATACTGAGTCTCTTGAGTCCTATTACTGATGGAGAACATATTGATTAATGTTACCATTTTACCGAGTGACGCACAGAAATAAAGGGAATTGCACTGAGTCATTTTACAGAGTAGAAAATAATAGAGTAAACCACACGGGTACATCTGCTGCAGCTTCGTATTTTACCGCGAGATGAGAATATCAACTGCACGTCGCCGCTCAAAGTCAAACTCCACAGCACCCTCACACAGCCAGAGATCTTAATGTCCTTTATCTGTAAGTTGACACGGAGTAATAATAGAGGTGGGGAGGGTACAAGGGGGCTAACCCACTATCCAGTGAATAAATAATAGGAAAGTAGGTTGGATTTTAACCCATTCGCGCCAGGTAAAAATGAACAAAAAATGGGGGAAAATGCTGTGCTCATTTTTCATACTTTTCGTGAAATTTCTCTACACTAGATGGCTCTGCCTTACCTGATTTCATTTGGCGGAAAAATGTATTTTCACTAGTACAATGAATATCGATGGTTATTTTTATTATAAACATTATAATTACTATAATGTTAGTAACAGCAAAATAAGATAACGTATAATATTTTCGTAAATTAAAGAAAAGAGTAAATAGGCGAGACAGGCAGTACAAGTACAAGTGCAGCCATCTATGTTTTAAAAACAATTAAACAAGTAAACTCACAGTGGGCCAGTCACATATACGTGACACCCGGCGTGAATGGGTTAAGGTTCACATGGGACTTTGTCTCTGGAGGTCGTGCTCGGTAACACATGTCAAGGAAAAAAATAACGTAAGAATAAACAAATAACGTAAATATAAAAAATAACGCAAAAAAATAACATGTCAAGGAAAAAACAAACAAACTAACAACTAACTTGTAACATGGGTGAACTTGTGTTTGTCTAATTATTTTTTAATTTGAATTCTCCCATACCAGTCCTTCATCCTTGTGCACTCTTACAGGTTTATAAAACCACTGTAAATTTTGGTGGATTCAGATGAGATACTGAATTAGACTTTTTAAAATTATTATTTTTCTATGCATATGTTTCTATGAATATTTAGAAAATACCCACTCATTTCCTACTTGCCTTGTGCTGTTATGTGAGGTTTCTGTGCCTGTTGGTTCTCAGGCAACGATCATCAAAACTACCCCCCCATGGATATTCAGGCAAGATAGAGTGCATGGAATTCCTTGATGGGTTATTATCAAATAAGGAATCTGTCCGTGCTCTTGTCTTGTCAGAATATATCTTTGCAAGTTGTTTTGGAAGTCCTTACATGTGTCAAAAAATTTATATAAAACCCAAGCATTTCAATGAGATTCTCTTTTTATATGCTCATGTAAAAAAATCATTTTTCTTTTTCTTTCTTACAAAACCTTTGAGTAGTAGTCATAAGCTATCTTCAGTATATATAAGCATTAATATTTTTTTCAGTTGAGGAGATGGCATGCCAAAGCAATGGAGATTCTATACAGAGGAATGAAGACAAAGAAAATGAAAATCAAGTCAAGATGAATGACCTTAATTCATCTTTGAAAGAAATTGCCTTGAAGTACGTATGATGTTTGTTGCATGAAGGCATTATATAATTTTTAAAAGTATGTTTCTCTGCCTTGTATATATATTTTGTTATTCTGTAAATATAGATTACAAAAAAGAAAAAAAAAAAAAAATGCACAGCTGTTGAATAATATTAATTAAGTTGATTATCAGTATCGGTATGATTATTCAGACTTGTAAAATCACTTAAATAGATTGAAAAGCTGGTGCATTTCTGAAATGTTATTGTGGTGTAACTTGTAGAAAAAAGTAATTACAGCCTCAACAGCAGAGTAGCTGTCTTATTATTATTTTTATTATTTTTACACGCAAATGTTTATTAATAATTACTTGCAAAGAAAATTTTTTATAGGTTGAATTGATTAGTTTTCTTATTAGTATAATGTGCATAATTATTATGACTATGCTAATTGTAAGACATTTCTAAAGCTAGTTCTCCAGTCACCCTAGAGAACAAACAGTTTTATTTTCCATGCAACTTCTACTAATTATTCAAATTCCAGAGATAATTACTGCAAAAGAACCAACTACATTTCCTGGGATGACTACTTTATGTCTATTGCCTTCCTGGCTGCAATGAGGAGCAAGGACCCATGCTCTCAAGTTGGAGCCTGCATTGTCAACAAGGAGAAGAAGATTGTGGGTATTGGCTATAATGGAATGCCAAGAAATTGTAGTGATAATGATCTTCCCTGGAACAAGCAGTCAGAAGACTGCCTACAGACAAAGTATATGTATGGTAAGGAAGTAGTGCATGTAGAAGTAATATGCATTTATTTTTACTAATATGTAATACATGTTATGTTTATAATGATATGATGTTTTTACAGGGAGGTGTAGTAGAAGCAAGAGCTCTTGTGTAGTAATATAAAGATTATTTTTGTTTCTGAAAGTAGAGAAGAATATGATTTTTGTGGAAAAAACAGTTAAATGTTTATTTACAAGGCACCTGTGTATCCATGTATCCACCACCAGCCTACACACCTCAACCACACTACTGCAACTCTCCTCAAAGCCTTTAGTGCTCCATAGAAGGCCAGCAAATCTCTACTATGCATTTTATGACAAGATGCAACTTGCAGAAGTCCAGGCTCTCACCTTGCTAAGATAAATGTGGTGGGGCTTTGCTGACCTTTGCTGGAATGTGAAAAGTGGAAGCAGTTGGTTGACACTGTACCATTAGTGTGACATGCAGGGCCTTCTATCACAGATAGCAGCAGTATTGAAATAGATAGATCCTAAGATCTATTGTTTCAATATATTTTTTAATCCACTGCAGGTGTCCTTTAAACATTTTCTGAAAGAACACAATCTTCATTACAAGTTTCCTTTATAGCTTTATTGAGCTAATAGTATGTGTTTTGTTATAGTGAATTATGTTTGGCTTTTATTTATTTTACAGTTTGTCATGCAGAAATGAATGCAATCCTGAATAAAAATTGTACAGATTTGTGTGGATGCACAATATATGTTGCACTGTTTCCATGCAATGAGTGTGCTAAACTGATCATCCAAGCTGGCATAAAAGAAGTTATTTTCTATTCTGATAAACATAGTCACAAACCTGAAACAATAGCTAGCAAACGTTTAATGGATATAGCACAAGTAAATTACAGGTAAGGGAGTTATGATTTTCATTTTCTCCTTTCTGTTATTTGCTTTCTTTTGTTTGAGCTTATGGTAGTATAATAGGATAATATTTGATTTGATTTGTGCACACATGCATGCATATATGCTAGAGGTTATAATAGCCTTATGACAACACACATATACTTAGACACAAAAAAAAAAACACACACAAAAAAATAGGCTGCATGTAACATCTAAATATTTTACAGGCAACATGTACCTATGCGGAAGAAGTTTGTGTTAGACTTCTCAGTCACAGATGGATATCAAGAAAAAGGAAATGAAAATGAATTGCCTATTAACAAGACTGTAATGCCAGTGATCAGGTATGGTTACATATATAGTGGAGAATTAGTGAAGACTGTTATCCTATGTCAGATTCAATTTGACTTTTGGTAAAGTAAAAGTACTGCTTTTTAGCATTATGATACCATTATGCTTTGATGCTACTTTTGATTTTGAAAAAGCTCAGGTATATATAAGATAAATATTTCTGAGTATGCCTAATGTCAAATAGTAACTGGTAATAATCATATTTATGATAATAACCTCATTATTTTATCTAGTGAACATCATTTCTCTGACAATTTATTGCTGTTTATCTGTCTCCCCTCTTTTATTAATTATCTCATTCTCTCCTCCCCCTACACATAGTCTAAAAAAGATGGCACTAATCATAGGTAGAATCCTTACTGGAATTGTGTATTATTTACATATACATGTTCATATTAATAATTGATTGTGAAGAAAACATCCTTTAGGATGGATGCAGAGACTAAGTCCCCTACTGGATATGATAAAAAATGCAACATATTTATACAATTAATAGTATAGTGACTTCTTTATTTAGGGACATCAATAAAAAACGAGAGGAATATTTGGCATGGGGTGAGTACTTCATGGCAGTGGCACTCTTGTCAGCGCTCAGAAGTAAGGACCCATCGACACAGGTAAGTTCATTTAAGTAATTCCTATGCATTTGTTTTAGATTCCAAGATATGTTTCTGTGTTGGTAGAGTAGGGAAGGGAATGCTATAATGTATTGGGAGTATACTGTACGTTTCTTTTATTACAATATATCTTTCAAGTTTACTGTGTAACAGTATAGTCAGGATTTTGAAAGCATGGTTATTATCTTTTGATAATTGGAGAAGTGATGAAATGTACTTGTAAATGGTTTTATGTTATAATACTTAACCCATTGCCGCCGGGGATGGCATGTACGTACATGCCGTGCCCACTGTGAGTCGACTTGTTTGATTGTTTTTACACATAGATGGCTACACTTGTACTAAGTATCCAATGAGCCAATCACGAGTACTGCCTGTCTCGCCCGTTCACCCTTTTCATCTATTTACGAAAATATTTAACGTTATCCTAATTTGCTGTTAAAAATAACACCATCTATATTTATAGCACTAGTAAGAATACATTTTTTCCCGCCAATTCAAGGGAAGGTGAAATCAGGACTAGCAGAGCCATCTATGGACAGAGATATTTCACAAAAATATAAAAAATGAGTACTGCATTTCCCCCATTTTTTGTTAATTTTCCCCGGCGGCAATGGGTTAAATTAAATAGTTGTTTGTACTGATAAACAATATCAGCATTGCATTTGAAATCTTCAACATTTTCTTTTTCATGTACTAGTATAAGAGGTTATTAATCATAGAATATCATATGCAGAAAGAGCACATTGTATATATACAAACTCTTTTAAATATGTTTGATATGCAGGATACCGTTTTCTGAAGACATCATTGACAGAATAATTTTTTTGCAGGTTGGAGCTTGCATAGTAAATGGTGATAATAAGATTGTAAGCATTGGTTACAATGGAATGCCTCGAGGCTGTGATGATGACCTGCTTCCTTGGGGCAAAGGAAGCTCAGATCCACTTAAAAACAAATATATGTATGGTGAGTTGAATTGAGGATATTACTTAAAGATTTGACTGATGTTGGATATTTGTAGGCACTATTTCTTTTTGTTGTTAGTTATCACTACAGTTTTGATCATGATTATCACTCATTCTGTTTCCTTCCTATTTTTGCATATATATTCTGTACTTGCAGATGTAACTTTATAGGTAATCCATTACAACTTGTATAAAAGCACTTTTTTTTTTTTACAATGGTGTATTCCACTCACTTTACCAAGATCCTTCAGCCATTATTTTCAGTACCAGTCTGGAATGGTGTTCAGACTTCATCTCTAAAGAGTGGGCTTAAATATTTTGTAATAACATAGGACTGGCTAATTTGTATATAGCTGAAAAAAACTTCATTGCAGATAGGTAGGCCTGAAGATGAATTTGGGAACTTTAAAAAGAATTTAAAGAAGTTGTACTTGCTTTCACAATGTCTATGATGAATGCAGTGGTATACACTCATCTAGTACTTGCTCATTTCAGTCACCTATAAAAAAATGTTTTCAATTTATTTCAAACCAGCCTTTACTATTATATTCATATAGACTATGTTTTATGAAAGGGAAATCTCAGTGATAGTATGTGTGTGTGTGTGTGTGTGTGTGTGTGTGTGTGTGTGTGTGTGTGTGTGTGTGTGTGTGTGTGTGTGTGTGTGTGTGTCTGTGTCTGTGTCTGTGTCTGTGTCTGTGTCTGTGTCTGTGTCTGTGTCTGTGTCTGTGTCTGTGTCTGTGTCTGTGTCTGTGTCTGTGTCTGTGTCTGTGTATCTGTGTCTGTGAAAGAAAACTGTACAAAGTCTCTTTTCATTTCAGTTTGTCATGCAGAGGTAAATGCCATCATGAACAAAAGTTGTGCAGATGTTTCCGGATGCACTATTTATGTTGCACTTTTCCCGTGCAATGAATGTGCAAAGATTGTCATTCAGTCAGGCATCAGAGAAGTTGTATATTTATCAGACAAGTACAAGGACAAACCTGAAACAATTGCCTCAAAAAAAATGTTTGATTTGAGTGCCATATCTTATAGGTAAGCTTACTATTGGTTAGTATGGAAAAAATAAGTGCAACTCTGATATAACTAGCTTGTCTCCTTTATTTTCATGTTTGATATAGTGAAAGCATGCATGCAGGTAACTTGCAAGGATGTTATTGATGAATAGATATTGAGAGAATAATATGCATTAAGAATATTGTCATCAGTGAACAAGATAAATACATATGATGAAGTGTTTATGAGGACTGAAATATATATATATATACAATATTATTTATTTATTATTATTATTATTATTTTAATGCTTCTCTGCTGAATCTTTTATATTCAAAGAAGCTCCTCCTCTCTCTTGTTTCTCCTCATGATGACTTTTAGCAGATGGGTTAAGCTAGCAATGCTTGTTGTTGCATTAAGTGTTGATTTTGTTACAATTAATATTTTTCTTAATTTTCATTTTGCATAGTTGAAATAACAGGCAGAATCATTAATTATCATAACTGTTTTTAGTTAGTTGAATGCTGGTTCCCTAAAGGATAGTGATATTTTAGTATGATGTGTATTTCTAAAAGAGCAAAGGAATCCTGTAGACGTTATGAAGAAGATATTATGATATCTTTTACATGAATCATCATGAAGCTTATAAATATTTGTATAATCGTTCATTCTAATGCATATTAATGCATAAAATTCTACTTTGTATTCATACGGTATAATTTTTTTTCAGGCCTTACACTCAATCTCGCAAGAATATCTGGATAGACTTCGATTCAATTGATTGGAATAATGCAACACAACTGCCTCCTACTCCAGTAAAGAATGGAAGAATGTGAATGCAAGGTTCTGATGGAAAATTATTTTAGTGCAGTCTGAACCATGTGATGGTACTTTAAATCAGGGTGATCTGGGTTCATAGAGAAATAATACTAGTCATTTTTGTGTCAATTAATGAGATGCGAAATTATTTTGATTGTAATTTTTTATAACTTAATAATATTTTACATGGCTAACCCTAGAGTCACACATTTTCTTTTTATAATATGACTCTATATAGTAATGAAAGTGCCTGTTGGCCGTATAAAATCACCCATAGTTAGACCACATTGCTTTAAATTAATGTTCTTATGCTTGATTACCCTCAGTGTTTTTCATGTTACAGCTGTTTCATGAATTCCTTGATACTATATTTTTGAAGGTAGTTCTGTAAGTGCTTTCTTCAAATTCTATGTTGAGGGTGATAATATGTATCTGTATGTGAATTTTGTCATTTTATAGATAGGATACTTCAAACAAATGCACTCAAGTGGCCTCCCACAAGCACAGATAAACATACACAAGCACATATATACACACACACAAATTAACATATATAAACATAGATAAACATGCACAAGCATAGATAAACAGACAAGCACACACAAGTACCAATGCATACACAAGTACCAATGCATACACAAGCACCAGTGCACACACAAGCACCAATGTGCACAAGCATAAATGCACACAAGCATAAAAACACAAATGTGCGCATAGGCACAAATGTGCACACAAGAACAAATGTGAGCACACAAGCACAACTGTGCACACAAGCACAAATGCACACAAGCTCAAGATTGTTTGCATTTGCTTCATTATATGCTTTGCTACAATTTTCCTTACATATATTGCAAGTCCCTAGTTTTTCCTTATAGATAAAACACAAGCTTTCATTGTAGATTATTTTAAAAGTATGTCTATTTTAGTGACAACAGTTGTGTGACTGATGAATTTTATTGTTGAATTTATAGTCCTGATTACAATACTCAAGGTGAAACTCTGCATTATGTTACAACCAGTATATTGTATACAGAAAATAAAGAAAATTAGTAGCTTTTGAATCAATGAACAAAAGATTCTTTTCCCTGGAACCTTTTTAACCCATTCGCGCCGGGTAAAAATGAACAAAAAATGGGGGAAAATGCTGTGCTCATTTTTTATACTTTTTGGGAAATTTCTCGACACTAGATGGCTCTGCCTTACCTGATTTCATTTGGCGGGAAAATGTATTTTTTACTAGTGCTACGAATATCGATGGTTATTTTTATTATAAACATTATGATTACTATAATGTTATGAACATTAGTAACAGCAAAATAAGATAACGTAAAACAATTTCGTAAATTAAAGAAACGGGTAAACGGACGAGACAGGCAGTACAAGTACAAGTGTAGCCATCTATGTTTAAAAACAATCAAACAAGTAAACTCACAGTGGGCCCGTCACATATACGTGACACCCGGCGCGAATGAGTTAGATAAATTGTTTTGAGGCTTAATATAGGTGGTGGTAACCCATTAACAGTGTCATGAATTATCCAATATGTATAAATAAATTTTCATATGAATATTTTACATAGGAGATTTGTGTCTCTGTGCTGCTGCCACCAACACCATCCTGTCACTAGATAGGAGGCTAAGTAGGTCTTCCACCTTCTCCTGGCTGACCAAACCTACCCACCTGACTACTAAATTTATACATATAAACAAAACACACACACACACATACACAAATACACAAACACACATATAAACAAAATATATATATGTATATAATTATATATGTTTATATATATATTATATGTATATATGAATATAAATATATATAACTATAAATAAATATATATATAGATATATATAAAGCATCCTCATTGGGAGCTAACGTTGACAGGGTCCCTCATGGCATGTCACCAGGCAGGGGCTCGGTCCATCTCTAACTCTTGATGACTGGTTTAATCAGTGTACTTAAGCCATGAATTCCAAGGTCATTCCACAGGCCTCCTCCACTCAGGGTTATCTTGAACAGAGACAACCTGGTGGACAGGTTCATCCTGAGGGAAACAAGCCAGGTGGTAGCCTGAGATGGAAGTCACTGATTTTGCAGGTAACTGGTCTTGTACCAGTCTCATGGTGTAATCGTTGATTGGATATATTGTCCTGCCAACTGTATCCCATGAGCCTGCACAAGGACCTGTTACAAAAGGCATTAAGCTGAGATTTCAAGGCACATGATAAAGTCCAGGTTTCACTACCGTATTGTAAAACTGGCAGTATCTGGGCCTTGAAGACAGCTTGGTCCTTCTACACAGGTACCAGCATCTCCAAATACTCTTGTTGAGAGAGTTCATGACCTCTGCTACCAGGCCAATATATATACTGACTTCTTGGTCTGACAGCCCAGAATCATGATCTGCACTAGCAAGGTATGTAAAGCTCTACGACTTCAATGTTCTCACTGTAAACCTGTACCGACTGAATAGGTTCTCTTAGCTGGCCTCCAAGTCCTGGATCTTGGTCTTGGTCCAGGAGACCTTTAGACCCAGAGGCTTTGCTTCATTGCTGAATGTATCTAGTGCTATCACTAGGGTTTCCAGAGACTCTGGAAGAATAACATTGTCAGCAAAGTCATGGTAATCATGATATTGCCCAGAATTTCTCCACAATGACTGGACAGTAGCTCTGCCCAGTATCCAGTCCATGCAAATGTTGAAAAGTGTGGGTGCCTCACTCCTGAACTAACCGGTAAGAAGCTTAAGGTCGATGTAAGCTGCAAGCAGCCCATGCCCAAACTCTCGAAGGCGCTCTGCAATGACTCCAAACACCAGGTCTTTTGTGGATTTACCAGGAGTGAATCCTGATTGCTCCAGCTTCTGGTGCCTCAGCAAATGGTCTTTGATACGTCTCAGAAGGACGTGAGCAAGGACCTTACCTGGTGTACTGAGCAGTGTAATGCCTCGGCGATTGCTTCCAAAGAGGGATGACCACACCCCTTAACAGGTCAAGGGGAATGGTACCAGTCTGCCAGATGGTAGCCGGGACGGCATGAAAACCCCTTGACATGGGTTCACCATCAGCCTTTAACAGTTCAGTTGGGATACAACAGATACCTGCTGCTTTACCTCTCTTCAGCTTGGAGATCCACCCTCCCTAACTGAAGTCAGGGAGGGTGGATCCTCGCTAATGAGTGGGTCCGGCAAAAGAATCTAGACACTAGCCGTATCCAAGTTAACTGTTGGTGGATCAACCTGGTACAAAATACATCCCAATGTTCCCGCACCCCAACAGAATCTGAGACGATTTGGCCACTTACTGAACGAACTGCAGTCGCCTGTGAGGAGGGCTTGGAGTTCAGCTTTCTCAAGGTTTGGTAGGCTGGACGAAGGTTATTTACTAAGAAATAGTCTTCGACCTCCTCTGCAAAATTCCTGATAAACCATTCCTTGTCCCTTCTCACCAGAGTCTTGTGCACCAAGTCATGATTCCCTGTCGAACGAACCGCGCGTCCGGCATCTGTGGCTTCCAGTGTCTCCTGTGAGATTAATTTTTTGTTTTGCACTTGGGCAGGTCAGGTCTCCGAGTGCTGTGAAACGACCATTTGCTAGCCTGGGCAAACCCCCGGTCATACTCCCCCTCCTTCAACCTGTCTACATGACACTCTAGCTGATCATTAGACTGACGAGGAGTTTTGAACTTGACTTCCCGATATACCCTGGAGTTCTGCTAACGAGGATGTGGTCGATCTTCTTGGCCACATTACCCGCATTGCTGTACCATGTACACCGATGCGCAGGTACCAAGGGGCAGAAATCCTCATTTTCTGGAGCTTGCAAAATCCCGGAAAAGGAGACATCAGCTCCCGTGCCATAAGGACCGACAGGCATAACGTCAAGTTTACAACCATCAGTAGGAGCTTACACAATAATAAGAGACATGAAGCCAAATGCAAGCTTTAGTCTCAATACCTTCATACGCTATCGGCCGGAGTGGCCTCTACTACTGAGGGCTGAAGATGGCTATAGCTACTCCCTGTCGATGGTGACCATCGCTGCGGCCCGACCAGTAGTAGGTGTAACCACCCACATTGGTCGTGGTGCTACCATGTATTTTCATCTCTGAGAGAGTAATAACCTCAACTCTCAGGCGATTCAGTTCCCTCTACAGCCTGACGTTCCAAGCCCCTACCCTGACGGCCCGCCTTAAGTTTAGCCTCGGGCAGTCACTACGGGTGGACGCCACCACTGCCACCCCGCTGACGTTGCCCCATATAGCGAGGGTTGGCTGGCTGCAGGCCCCAAGATCCACCTTTGGGCTTTACCCCACAAGCCTCACGCCGGGTTGGCGGCCACTGGGACGCGGAGAG